TGGAGTTCAGAGACGCTTTTGAGATGCAGCGTTTACCGTTTACGTCTCTATCATGTTACCGTTATATCTAGAGGGAAGTCCAGGGAGCCACTGATGGTTCAGATGTTTCCCTTTCAGACATGCTGTTCATCTCTTAGCTCTTATTCTTTTCTTTCTGATTCTGTTGCACACACTTTACCAAAACTCACCGGTGGCTTGTTCACACTGAATTATCTGGGTCCCTTCGCCTCACTTTGCCTTCCCTTCACTGTCCTCCTCCTTCTGTCCTCTTTGGTGTTCATTGATGGCACGTGGCAGATATATTTTTAAAAAATATTTTATTTATCATTTTATTTTTATTTTATGTGTATTCATGTATTGCCTGCATGTATGTAAGTGCACCCGTGTCATGGAATGCTGGTGGAGGACAGAGAGGGTATCGGATCTCCTGGAACTGGGGTTTCAGACAGTTGTTAGGTGCCATGCTGGGTGCTGGGATTTGAAACCGGATCTTCTGCAAGAACAGCCAGCGTTCTTAACCACTGAGCCATCTATCCAAGCCCCTTGGTCAGTATTTTTAAAACAGAAATTGAAAGCAAATTAAGACAGAAGCTGGTTCCAGGAATGGGGGAGGTATTGCCATGATGGACCTGGCAATATGTGTTTCGGAGGATTGTGGAAGTTTCGGCTTGGAGCTCAGTGAGCTGTTCTGTACGAACTTAAAAGGAATGCTGATGAGGCTTGTGACGCTTCAAAGGGAAGCAAAGAGTCTTCAGGGCTGTTTGTGTTGAATTAAGAATTTTTGGAAGTGAAACCTTTTGTGCTTTTCTTGGACAATTGATACTGGTTAGCTGGTGCTGAAAAGTCAGCTGTGAGTAAGAAGAGACCAGCATCACTGAGGTGAAATCTAGGAAGTATTTCCTTGAGGTCGGCACACAGAAGCTATGGTCCAGAGGGCATCCAAGGCTCTGTCTCAAGCTGGAAGCAGGACTTGATAATGTATAAGAGTGTCCTATATGGTACTGGTTTTGAAGGCATGAAAGGTTCATGGAGAGCAGCTGAGGTTTGGCAGTGTAAGAGGCCAGGAAAGCCATTGGTAAACGTGCACCTTAGTTTTGGTGAAGACCCACAGGACTGTTGGGTTCATGGAGAGAATCTGAGACTTTGCACCTTGAGAGATTAGGAGAGGTCATTGAAGGTGCAGCCTCAGAGCAGAGGAGACCTCACATATTGGAGGTACCAGGACCATGTGGCAATCACCAAGGGCAGCGGCATGAGCATCCAAGATGAGCTGTGTGTGGTGTGTACGGCAGAGCCAGAGAAGTGGAGCTGCCCAAGCCCTTTGGAGCCCAGAAGATCATGAGTCAATCCCAGATGTCCAGCCTTGAGCTACTTTGCTGGATTTAACTGTCAGTAACTCCGGTTCCAGGGGACCTAACAGCCTCTTCTGTCCTCGGAGGGCACTGTAGGACACAGGTGCACTTACACACATACAGGCATAATACTCATATACACAAAGTAAAAATAAATAAATAAATAAATAAATACATTTACAAAAGTTGTTTTACTAGAGGAGCAGTCCATGCTCTTAACCACTGAGCAATCTCTATAGTTCTTTTTTTCCCTAAACCTTGATGTTTACAGTAATCTTGTGTCATATTTCACAATGTTTTTCCATTTTTGTGAGAGAGGGTCTCACTTTGTAGTTCATGCTGTAGTCAAACCCCTTCTGATTTCTGGGATTACAGAACCAGACCACATGCCCAGGGTTTTTTTGGTCTATTTGAGACAGGGTCTCCCTGTACCCCCAGACTGCCTGGAACTTGCTGTGTAGACCAGACTGCCATTAAACTCACAGAGATCCGCCGGCCTCTGCCTCCCGAGTGCGCAATCAAAGGGGGGGGGGTGCCACCACCACACCTGGCAGTATTTGCTGTTTTTTGATGTGAGCACGCATCACTGCAAACTTTCTCCAGTACTTTTTTCTTATAAAAGTCAGTATGAAGTTATTTTGGGTACTTGAGTTGGAACACAGGGCCTCTAACATTTATTCATGCATCTACCCCTGAGCGATACCACCAGCTCCATCCAATAAAATTTAGTCTATTGTGTTTTCAACTTTGTCCTGAGGTAATTTTTCATTGTCCTTCTATGATGCAATGATTGTTAAAATGTGTTGCTTAATTCTCATGTGTTTGTGATCTTACCTGTTTTCCATTGAATACTGATTTCTAATTTTATACCATCGAGGTCAGGACAGATACGTGATATGATTCCCATCTTCCTAAACTCGTTGAGACTGGTTTGGCGCCCCACCATGACTTATCCTAAGGACTGTTCTGGGAGTGGTTGAGAAGATGCCTGCTCTGAGCAGTGGATGGAAGGTTGCTGTAGGTCTGTTAGGTCCATCTGGTTTGTAGAGTTGCTCACGTCCTAGTGCTCATGTTTGTCTGGATGTTGTGTTCAATATTTATTTAGACCCAGGGATCTATTGTTATTGTGTTGCTCTGTGTCTCTCCCTTAATAACTATGTTGACGTGTCTGTCATGTTGTTGAGTTCTGATGGGAGGTCTGCATGCTTTCATAATTGCTGTATTTTCTGATGCACTGACTATATGGTCATGTGAAAGTGAATTTTTTGTCTACTGTGACCAACGTTTTACTCCAAATTCTCACAGAAACTCAAGTTTTCATCTTGTATCACTCTTGTATTTCAGTAATAAACATTTATTATTAACAAGACTTCCAGCCCTATGTTCTGCTGATCTGCCGTTGATAAGAAACTTGTCATTTCATCTTGTTAGTTGAACAAAGCTTTTCTCAGGTTTTAGAGTTCTAGGTG